AGGAAGGGAGGAAGGGAGGAAGGGAGGAAGGGAGGAAGGGAGGAAGGGAGGAATCTGCAGCACTGAGAACTGCATCTTAATTCCATTTAATCTAAATTAATGTTTCCCAGATGTTTCCACAAAATTTGAATTTGGCCCTAAACATATATTTAGTTAGTGCTCATTTATTCACAACCATTTGGTTGGCTCAATCAGTAGTAGTACTACTGTTGTCTAAAACTCAGAAATAAAGAGAAAAAAAGAAAAAAGGAAAAACCCTTCAGGAATTCTATGATATCTCAGATGAGGAGTTTTAAAAAAAATTAAAATCCCACTGCACCCAATGAGATGACAGCTGAGTATTGGTGGTGATTCAATTTTATCATCTTTGAGACTAAATATTACTTAAAATTATTCATAACCAGTCATGATACAAATGCCTCTCTGATGTCAGTTCTGGCTTTTTGTTTTCCTTCAGACTGAGTGTCCTTCATTTATTTATTTCATAGTGCACACACTTGAAAGACTGCTAAAAAGGTCGGCCAAATATTTATTTCATAGTCCTCTATTTTTGCTGTCACTGACCAAAAGCCCTTATTCCAAGTAGAAAACTGAAAGTATGCACAGACATAGTAACTTAGTCCTACTTATTCCTATGCTGTGACAACTCTTACTAAAGATAGAGCAGTCAGGACCGCTTAAAAAAACACAGAAAGTTCAGACTTGAACTGTGAAACATTTTTTAGTGGTTTAAGTAGTGATGTACTAGAAGAGATTGCCTAGAAATGGGCTTGGTATTTTGAAGAATAGAAAGAAAAAATAGCTAACAATAATGCATGTTTTTTGTCAGAGGGAGCAAATGGGTTAGATGCTTTCTTGAGATCCTTTACAGATGATGTGACATACAGAAGAGAAGGTATGATGAGGGAATTTCTGAGCACCACAGTATGATGAGGTCATATGATAGAAAAATTTTGTACTGTATTTTCTTAGACAAATAGGTAAAGAAATTGTCTACTCAATGCCCCTTGATGGAGTTCACCTGGAACTCTGTGAAACACTGCATAAAGGCTAAAAAAAAGGTTAATGACAAAGAAATAAATGGAGCAGAATTAGGAATATGCAGTATACATCAATTTTAACAAATAGGAAGAAAATTATATTCACATTCCTTGTTTAATGTGATTATTATCTTTGCAAGTTATTATTAATATGATTTTAATCTTGAACAGAAGGAATCTTAAGGACTTTATCAGGAAGTAAATTAAAATAATGGAGAAACTTAAGAAACTTTGGATACATAAATGGCATAAATGCAGAAGATGTATATCTGTGTTTAAGAGCAGGAGTGATAAAGAGTAATGTAGCTGACATGAGAGAACAAATAAATAGGGAAATTAAGATTGCAATATTGATCAGAAGTTGAATCCTGGGATGTTTTAAGCAAAGGGAGGCACTAGTTGCTTAAATGAGAGAAAAGATATAGTGAAAATCATGGAATGTAGCAGTAGGGGATGTCAGGGGATGTACAGGCCACATACTCATAACATGCCAAAACACACGGCAGTAGGGTCTAACAGCCTTAGGCAGTACCTCAAAATATATTAAAAGAGTATGCTACTGGCATGAGAGCACAGCAGTGGTGTCATATCCAATTCAGACAGAAGGACAAGTTTTGATTTCCTGTGTCCACAAACTATTTACCTGATTCAGATTATAAAACTTTTTATGGCATTTATCCTTGCCATAAGAATGAACAAAAAAGCAGTGAGAGTTCTCTGCAGGACGTGGCCTCACATGAGCCAGTTTAGACTGTAAAAGTGAGTAAGTACTCACAGCTCCATTTTTTCCCTTTTAATACACTTCTTCTGTAGAACTGTGTTCCAAAGTCTTGACTTTAATTAATTAATACGCCTGTAATAATTTCTGATGTGATGAAAAGCTTCAAAAAGGGGACCAGCTCTAGAGCACAGAAAGGCATTTTAATATACAGAAAACATGATACAACGTAACCCAGAGGTGGAAATCAGCTCAGTATAT